AAAATTATAAATGTAATAATATAAATTTTTTATAAATTTTATAATTAAATAAAATCTAATTATATGAAAAATATATAAGTATATATTTTTTGTTGTTTTTATTTTTAATTTATAAGTTATTAGTGTTATTATTGGCTATTAGTTAAAATAAAACTTACTGAAAATTTGTTTCAAATATCGCCTTATTTCTTTTCTATTTGGATTGTGGTTATTTAGTGTTCAAACTTATTTTGAAGCCCTCTGTTGTCTTCTCAAAACCGACATACAGATTTCATTTTTATCTAAAATAGCAAATCATTAAAATTTTATTCTTTATTTAATAATATTTACTCGCCGTCACTCTCACCACACCGTCCAGCACTTTCTTTACGTCTGTAGTAAATCAAAGAAACTCACACGACCACAAGAAACTGAGAGGAAATTTTGAATAATGGTGCCTCTTTGTGTAATATCGCAAAGAAAATCTCTTTTACTTATTTACCATACCAGAATTGTCAAATATTAAAAACGGTGTGGCTTATAACTTAAATATTTACTACATTTGTGGTTGCATATTAGCATGTAGCCATTTCTTCTAATTAGAAGAAATAGTATAAATTATTGTTCTTGGAAAATCCATTGTATATATTAATACGATTATAATGAGTAAATATAGGCACGATTTTTTATATCAGTTTTACTTCAATTTACATAAAAGTTTTAAATGCGCTATATAAATCAAATATAAATGAAGAATTGGTAAACTAAAATCAATAGTAAATATAAAGTAGCTATTATTGATATATGTAAATATGTATATATAATTAGTCATGAAATTGTTTTAATAAAGTTAAAAAAATTGTATCGTATTTATTAAAATAAAAGTTCTTTAATCATGTTGCACATATACGTACTATATTTATATATATGCTGAGCATCTAATAGAAAAGTTAGTATGTGTTCATACATTTCGAGTATTAGGTTGCATTGTTTTAATAGTTTGTTTTAAAAAGATTAATATTAATATAATTTTTTAAAATTCAAAAAAGTTTGGTATATTGTAATACAATTTTTGCTTGTGCATCAAATTTTTTCAATATAGAAAATCGGAAAAATGTATATACTGTTTACTACTACATATTTTTTGTAGTTTTAAGCAATCCTTTCAGTAAGGTGAAATGTTTTTTGTATATGAAATTCAAGAAATTCTTAACTAGTTAATAACAACATTGTAAACAATAAGGATCAATTTCATCGCATAGTGTTAGAAGAAATATTAAATATATAAGCATTTTCCGCACCACCTAAGAGATATGCTTGCTGGCGTGTTACCGAGTTTTAGGTGTTCGGTTCCCCAATAGGCCTATCCACCAAAATATTTTATTTAACAAATATACAATTTTATGTAAATACAATTTAGAATAACTTAACATATACAAAATAATATTACTATTTTAAAAATATTTAATATTAAACCAAAAATAATAAGGAACTATAAAATTAAAGATAAATTATAAATAAATTTAATAAATTATAAAATTAAAACTAAAATATTTTTTGTTTAAGCAAAAAATCACTTAAAGAATATGAACACTTTTGTACTGTTTAAAAGTGTTGAAAGCATAATTGTTTATATTTAAAATTCGACACTTTATTATCTCGATTGAAATATTTTAAAATGAAGTAAATTCTTACTTTAATGAAAAAAGATAGAAGAGTTTCAATTTTGCAATTAGAGCAACATATATAGGAATGAACGTTTTCTAATTTATTAAATAAATGTTGCGCTAAACCTAATTTAAAGCAATTGCTATCCAACTGATCCGAAAATTGTGATTCTAATTTTTCAATATTTGTATATATAATAACAACACTCAATCAAAGTATAATTAATAATATTAATTTCTCTTCAGGATTTTTCCTTTTTTATAATTATTAGTATATCATGGAAAAAATAAAAAATAAAAGCACAACTTAATTCGTGATTTATTATATACACTAATTAGGCACACATCTAAGTTTCTAATGTGTTAATACATTTATATATTTACTTTATTCTACAACAATAAATTGCGTTATTTTTAATTAATAATATACCTTCGATAATCGTTTGGAAAAATATAGAGATGTTTGAAATTTAAACATCCAAGTACGCACTTCCGTTTCAATTGTAAATAAATTTTAATTAATTAATAATTCATATATTTTTCTGGAATAATTACCTTTTTTTAATGCTTTTATAATTGAAAACAAATTCCGCCTTATTTTTCTTTTAGTAATGTGGTATTTGTGCACTTAATTGCAACTTTGGCGCATTTTCTCGTAACGGATTTTTAATGTCAAAAAACCAAAACAAACAACGAAATTTCTCAGAAACCTCTCTAACTTTAGCAAATATCGTGGTGAGTAGGGACCGGGTGGGCAAAGTAGCAGGGTCCGGGTAAGGAAAATATTCACGCGCCATTATGTAGCATTAGGCTTTTTGTTATTGTACTGCGTAATATTTTCACCTCATTACACAAAATTTTTGAATATTTTTTGAATAATCCAGAAAAATTTTAACACAATTTTTCGAGTAACTCTCAGTTTCTTTTCTTTATCTTCTTTGGTAGTAATCATTGAAGAAAGCATTGTCATTTGTTGATTTTGAATTATTTGTAATTTTTTTAAAAATAATTGTGTGTTCTTTTGTATATGCAGCAACTGCCGCTTTTATATTGTGAACAACATTACAAACATTATATATTAAATTCTTCAAATTTGCTGCGTTTTCTTCCATGCTGATTTATTTTCTTCTAACAATACAACATTTAATATCTTCTGTTTACAATTAAAATGTAAACACAGAAAAGCTCTAAAACTAGAACTTTTTGACACATAAAAGCTCTTTCCCATTCCTTAAGTAACTCATGATAATGTAAACGCGACAAGCAATGTTACTATATGACTTACTAAGTACGTAGGGGAAACGTAGTATTAGTGTTGGCATCATGTGATTTGAGCTGCTTATTAGTTAAGCAATTTCAAAAAGGTTGGACTAAATAAACCAGCAGTTTTTTTGTTTCATGTTATTTTTAAATAAGCAGTTGTTCTTTTGTGATATGCTTACAAAAGAAAATGCCAAAAGGAAAAGCAAAATAACCCTAAATCAATAATAGTAATAGCGTTTTTGAATGCTAAATCTAAGGTAATATTTTCAATCGAGATAATCTTTTAATGGACTTTTAGTGCAATATTCATTTTCGATTAGTAAAGCGGGGGCAATATGTAAAACACTTAGACGCTAAAATGGTGGCAATGCCGTTCACATTTATAAAAGAAAACATTTCATTTATTTAATAGGGCCCGTGATATATGTCTAATCTATCACAATTAGGCAAATTTTTCTTTGTTATATTTTGGTAAGTATATTATTTTGTTTTTATGGTATCCCAAATAAATAAATAAAAATGTTTTAAATAATTTCTTACACTTCACGTTAATTTACTTAATTGACAAAGAATTTAGTATATATGTAATTCTTTGTACAACATTATATTAACATTACATTCAAAATAAGATATATTTTGTTTGGTAACAATTAATATTTATAATGCTGATAGTATATAGAATTGTAAAAGATAAATTTATGAAGGATTAATAAGAATAAATAATAAAAAATAAACAATTAAAAATAAAGATTATACCGTATTTTTATTTTCCTCCGGAAAAATTATGAACGTATGTATTAATTTCTACGGTCTTCCATTCAGTGTTTCTTCTATTCAGTGCTTTGCATTGGGTCACAATCTTGTCTGGTCTGGACAGCTCTGATATACTTAATTGGAATGTCCGATTAGTATTTAAAGTTACAATATTTGAATTTTGAATATTGTTTATTACTTTACTTATAGCTGCACTAACTGAATTTTAAAACATTTTTATGATTTTTTTATAGAAAAAGCTTGAATATTCTCAATATATTTATACAGAATTTACGCAAAATAAATTTTGTTTGGAACTTAGGTGAAAGTAATATTACGTTTTTTTTAACAATTGCTACAGGGGCATAAAATATTCATGAAATTTTATTTTCAAAAAGATTTTGTAGAGTCAACGTTGTGAAGAACCATTAATTTATTTTATCTATTGCCCTTTTTATGCGAGCCCTAAAAACTGTTTTATTACCGCGTTTCCACGGCTTACTTAGTAAGTTAATTAATAACATTGAGCGTTTTGTCGTTTACATTAACACAACTGACTTAAGGAATGGGAAAGTGCTATTATGTGTCAAAAATTTCTAGTTGTAGAGCTTTTCTTTGTTTATATTTTAATTGTAAACAGATGACATTAAACGTTGTATTGTTAGAAGAAATTAAATTAGCATGGAAAACGCAGAAAATTTGAATAATTTGGTATATAATTTTTGTGATATTGTTCATATGAATGCATTAGTTGTTGCGTATACAAAAGAACATGCAATGATTTATAAAAAATTACAAATTATTCAAAATCGACAAAAAACAGTGGTTTCTCCAATGATTTCTAAAAGCTAAAGGAAGTACTGGACTTTGGTAAATACGGGCAATAAATATTATTAAATAAAGAGCAATATTTAAACGAGTTACGTCGGTTCTGAAAAGACAACAGGAGGCTTTAGAATAATTTTGAACACTAAACAGCTACAATCCAAATGGAGACGAAATAAAACGATGTTAAGTTCAAATTTTCAGTAAGTTTTATTTTAACTAATAGCTAATAATAACACTAATAGTTTATAAATTAAAAATAACAAAAAAAACCTTATATATTTTTCATGTAATTAGATTTTATATAAATATAATATTTACAAAAAATTTTTATTATTACATTTATAATTTTAATAATTTATAATTTATTGAAAATAAAAATAAAAAAATATAGTCGGTTATCACTGATTTTTCTTTTCTTTGTAGGTGAAGTTCTTTTTTGACTTCAAATATGTTGACGATAATGTTGACGACGCTGGCAGTAACGGTAAGGATGACTATCAGAAATTAATACGAAGGTGTTGTCAATAGGCAAGTTCTCCAAAATTCTATACACGATATTGACAAACTTCCACGATGACGGGACCTCCGTTGAAAACCACAATACATTGCTGAACCTTACTATTTTAAAATAAAAGAGAAAAGTTAACATAATACTTAATAACATATATTATTCATTATACTTTATTAATTATTAAATAAAACATCAAATATTAATCGTAAAGGATTATGTAGTTCTAATTACCAAAAAGTAATGATATAATAGAAATTTCTGAAGTGCACTTTCGTTTGCACTTCGTGCGCGGTTCCCATATAACATCTTTCACCTTTTTCATCGAAGAAGATTTCCCTCTCATAGTTCTATAGTTCCACACGCATTCCGGGTAATTTTTTTTTTGTTTTACATTAAACACAATTTTAAATTTATAAATCAAACTTGAGAGATCGCAATTATTGCTTTCCTGATGTTAACCTGAAATAAATATTTTTTATTAAATAGTATATGAAATTTTATAATTATATCAAATATATATTTAATAAAAAAACTAATTTTTATGTATTAATTATTTATTTTATTTATAAAAAAACAAATGTTTAAAAAAATTCTTACCTGTTGTTTGTTTTGAATTTTGATTGTTTGTTTATGTTAACCAAAGAAGATAAAGAAAAGAAACTGAGAGTTACTCGAAAAATTGTGTATAAATTTTCCTGGATTATTCAAAAAATATTCAAAAATTTTGTGTAATGAGGTGAAAATATTACGCAGTACAATAACAAAAAGCCTAATGCTACATAATGGCGCGTGAATATTTTCCCCACCCGGAGCCTGCTACTTTGCCCACCCGGTCCCTACTCACCACGATATTTGCTAAACTAAGAGAGGTTTCTAAGAAATTTCGTTGTTTGTTTTGGTTTTTTGACATTAAAAATCCGTTACGAGAAAATGCGCCAAAGTTGCAATTAAGTGCACAAATACCACATTACTAAAATAAAAATAAGGCGGAATTTCTTTTCAATTATAAAAGCATTAAAAAAAGGTAATTATTCCAGAAAAATATACGAATTATTAGTTAATTAAAATTTATTTACAGATGAAACGGAAGTGCGTACTTGGATGTTTAAATTTCAAACATCTCTATATTTTTCCAAAGGATTATCGAAGGTATATTATTAATTAAAAATAACACAATTTATTGTTGTAGAATAGAATAAAATAAATATGGTATATAAATGTATTAACACATTAGAAACTTAGATGTGTGCCTAATTAGTGTATATAATAAACTACGAATTAAGTTGTGCTTTTATTTATAATTTAGTACTTTGAAAGTGATTAGAAAATTATTTTTTCCATGAAATACTAATAATTATAAAAAGGAAAAATCCTGAAGTGAAATTAATATTATTAATTATACTTTGGTTGAGTGTTGTTATTATATATACATATATTACTACATATATTGAAAAATTAGAATCACAATTTTCGGATCAGTTCGATAGCAATTGCTATAAATTAGGTTTAGCGCAACATTTATTTAATAAATTAAAAAACGTTCATCCCTACATATGTTGCTCTAATTGCAAAATTTGAAACTCTTCTATCTTTTTTCATTAAAGTAAGAATTTACTTCATTTTAAAATATTTCAATCGAGATAATAAAGTGTAGAATTTTAAACATAAACAATTATGGTTTCAACACTTATAAACAGCACAAATTAAATTTATTTATAATTTATCTTTAATTTAATAGTTCCTTATTATTTTTGGTTTAATATTAAATGTTTTTAAAATAGTAATATTATATTGTATATATTAAGTTATTCTAAATTCTATTTACATAAAATTGTATATTTGTTAAATAAAATATTTTGGGGGATAGGCCTCGGTAACGCGCCAGCAAGCATACCTCATAGGTGGTGCGGAAAATGCTTATATATTTAATATTTCTTCTAACACTATGCGATGAAATTGATCCTTATTGTTTACAATGTTGTTATTAACTAATTAAGAATCTCTTGAATTTCATATGCAAAAAACATTTCACCTTACTGAAAGGATTGCTTAAAACTTAAAAAAATATGTAGTAGTAAACAGTATATACATTTTTACGATTTTCTATATTAAAAAAATTTGATGCACAAGCAAAAATTGTATTACAATATACCAAACTTTTTTTGAATTTTAAAAAATTATATTAATATTAAAATTTTTAAAACAAAATATTAAAACAATGCAACCTAATACTCGAAATGTATAAACACGTACTAACTTTTCTATTAGATGCTCAGCATATATATAAATATAGTACGTATATGTGCAACATGATTAAAAGAACTTTTATTTTAATAAATGCGATACAATTTTTTTAATTTTATTAAAACAATTTCATGACTAATTATATATACATATTTACATATATCAATAATAGATACTTTATAGTTACTATTGATTTTAGTTTACCAATTCTTCATTTATATTTGATTTATATAGCGCATTTAAAACTTTTATGTAAATTGAAGTAAAACTGATATAAAAAATCATGCCTATATTTACTCATTATAATCGTATTAATATATACAATGGATTTTCCAAGAACAATAATTTATACTATTTCTTCTAATTAGAAGAAATGGCTACATGCTAATATGCAACCACAAATGTAGTAAATATTTAAGTTATAAGCCACACCGTTTTTAATATTTGACAATTCTGGTATGGTAAATAAGTAAAAGAGATTTTCTTTGCGATATTACACAAAGAGGCACCATTATTCAAAATTTCCTCTCAGTTTCTTTTCTTTATCTTCTTTGATGTTAACATTTTATTTCATGTGTCAAATATGTCAAATTTAGATCATTTCCAATGTTGCATTCGTCTTTTTTGGTATAATTTTGGTCGAATTTTATTTACTGTATATTAAAGTAAGTAAAAAAGCTCTTTGTATGGTTAATGAAATTTACTTAGTAATTTATTTAGTTACATAAACATATAAAATTGAATTTTGCTTAAAAGCACTTGCAGTACCACTTTATTATTAAATAAAACATTTTTAAATAAATGTTGTTAATGTTTATTATTTTGCAAGCATATATTGTTTTACATGTAATGATTGTTTTTTTTCTCTTGCTTCTGAGAAGACGCGCTAAATACTAATGCACGCTGGACCATTAAGTTAGTTGCTGTTTGTACTTTGGTTTTTACATCACGATGCCGTTGCACTAGTTAATGTGATCGCCTGCACTCCCCCTTCAATGAGCGTAGAAGGCTGTGGTGATGTTTTGTGTTACTGGAACTGGGTTTATTTACCTCAAAGGGTCTTACTCGGCAAAGGTTACTTTGCGTACCTTATTGATGGTGCTATCGATAACGAGTGATGGATGCGATAACGAGTGTACCAGGTTAAATACGTCCCATCTCAGTAATTTGGAGATGAATGGTCTTTTGCAACCAGTTGTGATGTCGTAGTAATTGTTCAAATTTTCTGGTAGCCGTAGCTTTTTAATTATAACTAGTTCATTTGTTCATTTTGACATTTTTCTTTGCCTGCATCCATGTTGCTGCTTGCTGATTCAAATTCACTAATGTCGTTGTTCTTGTTTTCGGGGTCACCAGAGACTCCTGCAGAAACAAATAAATTCCAGCCAGTTGAAGCGGAAAAGTGGGCAGTGCAAGCGATTGGGCAAATGAAGTTGCCAAACTTTTTATCTAAGGACCCAATTTTATGGTTTGCACAAATTGAAAGCCTACTTCATATGAGCCGAGACGTCAGATTTATCAAAATTCTACACAGTAATCACTGCGCTGGATGCAGCAACGCTATTGCAAAAAATCCTCCTGAAACAGGTAAATACGACAAATTAAAAAAAGAACTAATTTCTCGTTTTTCCGAGTAGTCAGAACAGCAGCTTATAAAGCTGTTCACCGGTCTGAAACTTTCGAATAAAAAACCAAGCCAACTGGTACGCGAAATGCGCACGTTATCAGGCGCAGATGTCTCAGAGGAGGCATTAACAACACTGTAGTTGCAACGTATGTCAAACAACGTGAGATGGATTCTATCAGTATACAAAACCACAATCATAGATGAGTTAGCAAAAATAACTGATAAAATTTTGGACAACAGTCCAGTACCGTCTTACGTAATAGCTACAAACGCCAACAAATTGAATGACGCAATAAAATCCCGGGTAACAACCTTAGAAAGTTCGATCCAACAACTAAGACAGCAGCTAATCAAGATATCAACAACCTTAGACAGATTGGAAAAACGAGACAGTCGTGGTAGAGACGACAGCCGCAGCCGCAGCAGTTATTGTAAACGGGAGAAGGTTTGTTACTACCACATAAAATTTGGAGCAACAGCGACCAAGTGCAGCCAACCGTGCGAATTTGATGAGGAGCTGTCCTCATCAAACACGGTTGGCGACAGCATAAAACATCAAGAGCTACGATTACATATTTACGACCGAAAAAACAACATTAACTTTTTAATTGATTCTGGATCAGCTATTTCACTACTTCCACTGCCAGGAATCAATCCAAAACATAAAATGCAACCAGACGATTTAGTTCTATACGCAGTGAACAACACTGCAATCAAAACATTTGGCAACAAGCAATTAGCTTGTCATCATAGCTGATGTTAAAACAGCCATAATTGGGGCAGACTTTCTAACTAATAAAATGACAATTTGTCAGAACGCCCGCTTTTAGGTATTTTTGGAAAAAATGATTTTATTTTAATTTTTTTCGTCACATCAAAGCAGAAAATGGTATGAAAAAGTGGAATATGTGGAAAAAGTTAAATTTAAGTAGAACTTGTTCTTTTATTTTATTTTAATAAGAAACAGCTGATGGTCAACATCAGGAATGTCCAAAGCACGGCCCGAGAATCACATGCGGCCTGCGGCTAATATTTGTGCGGCCCTTGACATGTTTTTAATCTACTACGATTACGCGAATTTTCTTTTGCTGTATTGGTAAAACTACATTATTTTATTTTTGTGGTATAACAAATAAATGAATTTAAATTGATAAATTAATAATTAATTTTACCATTAGAACCATATTTTTATTTTTGTCGAAAACAACTATGAACGCATGCATTTGTTTCGCATCTGGTCTGGACAGCTATGTTCTACATAATACCGAAAATATTATCACACCTGATGCCTCAGTAATTCTCTAACTCGATAACGAAGTAATCACCTAAAGTGTCTAAATACACGTTTTAATAAAATAAAACTGATTATTGAAATATGTTTACATTAATATATGTATATGTATTGTATATTAATAATACAAGTTGGAGTTAGTACATTCAAATTTTATTAACGATTTCGAAATAAATAGGTTTAATGTTTAAATTTCATTTGTTCAGTCACATTATTGTAATTTAATATAACTATAAATGGTATCAATAGAGAAAGAGTAACTTTTTATTATAAATAAATTAGTAATGAATATAATACGAAACAACCGCGAACTTTTTATGGAAAGAAGAGTTTCGGTTACGGTCGTAACGAAACGAATCGATTTCGTTTTCGTTTTCGGCGTCACCGATTTCTTCTTCGTAAATATATTCTAGTTAAGAAACCGTTCATGAGTACATCGCCCATGTGTGTGGAATAAATTCGTCAGTACAAATATACCAGCAAATGCAGTAAATGAGACAATAAGAAATTAATTAATATATTATTTTTAATTTTTTTTAGTTACTTTTTATTCATGCATATGAACTATTTCATGGGAACCTGCGTAAATAAAACAGTTCTTTTAATAAATATAACAATACAAAAAGTGTGTATAACATGTTTTCTGTAAAAAAGTAATCGAATTTATTTTAATTGATACTTATTATAATTATTTGTGTTATTATCTGAATAAGGATAAAAAAATTGTATTCGGCTGTGTATTAAATTCTTATTGGAAGCTACTCTCTAAATTATGGATATAATTATGTGGTGTAGAATGAGCAAAAATCTATAGAGCAATATGTACATAAACAGAGTTTTAAAGAAAGATATTAATACTCTAGATTAAATATAAACATAATTTTACCCAAGCACACAGCACTTAATTTATTTCATTCGCTCTCTTTAAACGCATTCTGCTTCTTTTAGCCACAAATGCGAACGCTGTTGATGGGCTAAAATCAACAGTTCTGTAGTTGCGCTGCGATTGTCGAGGCGTGTTGTCGTTTTTCGGTGGAGCGTGTGCTTTATATTCTTAATGAGACTGAAACTTATGGACCAGTAGATTAAATTCAGTGTTTTGTTGTTTTTTTCACGTTGAAATATGCTTTAATTAAAATTACAAGTGTGCACATGTACAGACATTTTGCAACGAATTAAGTGGCGAATAATTAATTAATTAATTGTAAGTTTAAAAATTGAGAGAAACAAAATTATTTTTGTCATTGTATGAATAAAACAAATCCAAATCTGTCTTACATAAATACCTTAACGGATCAACTAAAATCATAAAGCAAGAATATATACATACGCATATCTGCGTATACAGTATGTATGTATGTATGTATATATGTATCTATGCATGTATGTATGTATTAATGACACCAGATAAATGGCCGGCATTCGAATTTTCTATATTTTCAAATTAGCACAAGTAATTTATTTTTAAAGTATTTTGTGGAGTGCTCGCATAAATCGACTATATACAATATACAATACCAACAATAAAAAGCTAATTTATTTAAACATTAACAAAGAAAATGCATTCCAAGTTTTTAATCAATTGCAACATCAGTTTAAAATATTAAACGAATTATAATGAAAAACTTGTACTCCGAATGAAAACTTAAAATGAGAGCAGCGTCTCTGCAGCAAATAATCACTTTAAAATGAAATAATGAAAAATTATTTTTTATTCAATGCAAAACAAATCAAATCAAATTTTATAATTCGGTTTCTTGCTCAAGCCACACATTTAAACAAATACCAACGAACTATTTCCCTTGAAGTGTTTGCTTTTTGTTTTTGTATGTACGGATTTTTTTTCGTTTTCTTCTTCCTCTTTTTCAAACAACAAAAGTCGTTAGTTCACTTTTCATAAATTCTTTCTTCGCATAATATTTTTAACATTTTTATTTTGTTTTATTTTATGGTTTTATTTGAAATTTAATTAAATTTAATTTGATTTCGCTTCGATGTGTGTGTGTGTATATATATATATATATGTGTGTACGTGTGACAACAACTGTGCTGTTTGTTTCATTTCGTAAGAGAAAGAAGCATTAAAGTCTGCTGACTCTCGCATTAAATACATTTGCGGAAGTCCTGTGTTTTACAAAATAATGAATATAAATTAAAGGAATTACATATATCATAATAAGAACGAAAGAAGTACAAATAATTAAATCATTTAAGGTTAGAAAATACACAAATATTTTTATTGATTTAATTGCAATCGATAAAGGACTGACGAATTCACTCTTGAGCTGAAGTTTTAGTCAGTCATGATAACACAGCAATCATCACTACAACTAATACTATGCTATATAGATACAGTGGCTCTCATCTTATTTCATCCAACACTGCTTTAAATTTTCAAAACACTGTGTCTTAAAATTGAATTAGAAAACAATAAAGTTTTTAATGTAAGTGAGGAAAACGTAATAAATGATACAAAGTACATAAAATTTGTTTTTGTTTCGCTCAAAGGGGAAAAACCCGATCGCGTAACAGAATTATAGTTCACAGCTTATTTTATCCAAATAATCATTTGCACTTAGTCGCCAGTATGTCGCGCTGTGCAACGGGATTTTCTTTTCCGTAATATTTTTAATGTATTTCCAACCAAATGTAATAAATTTTTTGTGTGATTTTGGACGTGCAACGGTAAATAAGTAATTTTTTAAAAATTGGAACGACGCACTACAATTGAGCAAAGAGAATTGGTTCTAACCCATTTTAAGGATGGTCAACCTCAGCGGAAATTTGCGGAATCCGTTAATTTGAGTCGCTCCACTATGCAAAGCATCATTAACTGCTTTGTTCGTGAGAATAGGACTCAAAATATGGGCAGAAGCGCACCACATAAAATTTTCAACGCAGCTGACATGCGACATATTGCTAGAAAAATCAAAAGGAATCTAAAATTAAATGCTACTGATATAGTCAAGAAGGTACGGATAGAACTAGGCAAGACTACTTTCGGGAGTGTTTCCACACTCCTACTTTAATGGTCGAGTAGCTAAAAAAAACCCTTTATAAGCAAAAAAAATCAAAGCAGTCGACTTGCTTAAGCTAAGGAGCATACCTACAAAAAATTAAACTTTTGGAACAACGTCATATTCTCAGACGAGTCTAAATTCAATATTTCTAGCTCAGATGGCATGACTTACGTGTAGCGCAAGCCTAATACTGAGTTCAAAAAAGAAAATTTAAAAGCTACAGTAAAGTATGCTGATGGAAGTATTATGGTTTGGGCCTGTATGTCAGCCGTCGACGTTGGGAATCTGGAGTTTATTCATGGTAACATGGACAAAACAATGTACCTCTACGTTTTGAAAAAAAATTTAGTCCAGAGTGCAGAGTGAAACTTGGAATTCCTGAAACATTTCGCTCCTACCAAGACAACGATCCAAAACCAAACCGGGTTTGTACAGTCTTGGTTGATTTGGAACTGCCCACATCTGATGACTCCGTCGGCACAGAGCCCAGACATAAATTTCATTGAAAATTTATGGGCAATGTTGGAACAAAACATTCGGCAATATACTGTTTTCAACAAAGAAGACTTAAAAAAAGCTAGTTTACAAGAGTGGATGAAAATTGCTCCAGAAATAACCCAAAAACTAGGTTGTAGGTTGAATGCCGAAGAGACTAGACGAAGTGAAAGGGTATCATACCAATTATTGACTTTGTACCATTTAACAGCATTAAATATATGTTGCAATTCTGTTACTAACATTTGCATTATGAGAACTCTGAAAGTAATTAATGTAGAGAAATTGTTTTTGGCAATCCCACTACTTACTCCACCATGACCGATTAGTTAAATCTGCCACAATGTCTGAATCTACAAACATAAATAATATCATCTCTTAAAATGTGTCTATTAAATAATGAAAACTTATTAAATTCCTAAGTCATTATATCTGTAGTACGTTGCCATTACATATAATTTCAAAGGATTTCATTTATGTATTTTTATTTAATAAAAGGAAAGAATATTGGCCTCTTCAGAAACTACTAAATCATCTACAGAATTTTTAATATTATATTAATCAGTTATTTAAATAAAGTATTTTTAAATTGAAATATGAGTTTTGTTTGATTAAATAAATACCATGGCTCTACTTTGAATTTTTTGCGACAATCTCTGACGTCACTTTTATTTATTTATTACTTTGATTATATTACGTTGACAAATTATTTCAAACTCGCATTTAAATTATGGGATGCAATTTGATTTAATTAGCTTAAGAGAAACTCTTCTGTAAAATGCAGAAAAAAAATTTTTTATTCGCGTATAGAAAGGGACTTCATCCATTGTATTGGCTTTAAGTCATATAAAAATCTTACTTTCTAAATATGAGAGAATTTTGATTCACCACTTATGGATTAATTCTGTCAATGTGCGCCGTCCTTTCAACTTGATTAAGAAAATTTAGATAAGAAAATTTATTCTAAACAATTATTTCTCTGGTTCGGATTGGAGCAATTTAACTGGTTGGTATGGTTATGAACAGTAGTTTCAGAATTGTGTTCTCTTTGTAGCTGATTTCAATTTATACCGAGAAAATCTAAAAGTTTTAAGCAGTGCTAGGGATCTAAAGTAGATTGAATATTTTAAATGTAGCAATTGGAAGTTTAGTCATACATTAGATTTTTTATTAGCTCGACTGCATTGAACATAGTATAACGCCCTGCTCCAAACTACGTAAGTAATATGTCCTATAAATCGCAAATAAAAGCCTTCATGGTTTGCTCTTATAGTACAAATGGCAGAGTAACAGAAAAATCCGAATCTTAATTTAGAAGCTTCGTTTATATTGCAATAAAATTTTTAAGTATTTCTAATAAGGCGAAGACGTCAATTAAACGAACGCACAAAACAGGCTTGCAATGGAACCGGAGATAAAGCTACACACACACAGATGCACTGATTTAATGCTACACATGCACACCAAGGGGGAACAAACAAAATACCATGAGAAGTGCATTTGCATTATAAGCCAACAAAGCGATAGAGGCGAAATGGTAAACAAAAATGTGTTTCTGGCAGTTTTCTTTTTGTTTATTTTTCTCAGTGGAAATCATTCGTACCAGAAGAAGCGCAGATCTGCAAGACGCTCATGCTCGGAAAAGAACATGCAATGGCAACAGGCTGAATGTGACGGGACGCATTCGCTAACGCTAAAACGTAGAAAAATATAATTGAATTCTACATGCTCGTGAATTTATGTAACATTCCTGTTAAAAGAGATGCAACGTAGCACATTGTAGAAGAAAATTTCGCTTTAACTTTTAACATATTTTTCCGCTCGCTCTGCAATTTGTGTGTTACCAACCAGTAAGTGGTTAGTTCAGTTTACTCGGTAAGGTTTATTTCGTTTACTCCGTTTTAGTTGAATTTATCGCTATTTCAATTTTGAGTTAGCCTAGGTCAGGGCTACCACCTTTAAGGTGAATGAACGAGGAAAAAAATTGTAAATTTTTATTTTCTTAAATCCTTGATAATAACTAAGTTTTAGGTACATATATTATGTTAATTCCTTGAAGTTGTCGCTAACGACTTTATGCACAAATGTCCAGTAATCGTTTTTATAAAGTTAATTTTTTCTTAATCAGAATAACTTATTTATTCCAACTTTTATTATACAAATTATTTGAAATTTTATATTTTTTTATTTAACTAAACTTGAAGACAGTTTCAATGATCTGAATTAATTATTTTATATATATTATACGTATGTACATACTTGTAATATATGTATACATATAAATGTAACATATATACTAATGTTGGAATAAGTAAATTAGATTAAATGTTCATCAATTGGTTAGTAGATACTTTGCCTAAAAATGTCCGGTCTCACAGTGAATTGGGAAGGCTTTAGATGGGTGTGTTTAATTGTCATTGGAGCAATTCACATGTTCTTTTGCAAACTTCAGATTATCAGCCACAATTGACTTTGATAAGAATTAAATAATTAAATCAGAATTAACAATAGACCAAACAAAATAGAACCAATATTAAGTTTAGCATTAATTTATTATCCATTATTAAATTATTAATAATAATATACAAATGTCTAGTGCAATAGAGAAATGTGCTTTTAACTTATTTTGTGACTAGTCGCATTTGTGGAGCTCAATATCTTGACAAAACTAAATGAAAAATTCGATTAAATTACACATTTTGTTTGTGTTTAAAATATTTTTAAATATAGAACTCCATTATTTTTCATGTTCAACCATCAATTTAATCGAAGGAACAATTTTTGTATTTCCATGCTAACGAGCAAACAGGTCTGGTCCTTGTTTATTTAAGTGTGTATTTTCATAGTTACATGTAAAGGTAAGAGACACTCTCAGTAATGTTAAGTGCTTTTGTTGCATCACAGGAAAAGAAAAATCAAATTTACTATCAGTTCGAAAAGAGAATGTGAGAGAGAGAAGAGTAGAGAAGAGAAGTTTATCATAAACTTAAGTGCTCTTTGTTGATTTAATTTATACACTTGTGTTTCGTTTTATGGTTTCAATTTTACACTTGCTTTGTTGTTGCTTGAGTTCTTATTGGATTCGTATGCTTTAATAATGAAATATTAAAGACATAAGGCAAAAACAACGCAACCGAAACTATTGTGGCAACAACAAGAATTATTATAGGTAAGCTATATATCTGCTTGCTTGTGCACACGTACATGTACATCAACTCTTATTTACGATTATGTACATATATTGCTTTTTGCTATTTGTGGCCCGAGTTCACTTAAAATTGTACATTTTTGTTTGCTTCAACACATATTTAATGTGCTCGGTATTTGTTCCATCCATGCCGTATACCGGCGACCACGAAAATTATGTTCCCAACAATTCGTTTAATTTTTTATTTAACTAAATTTATTCGTTTCGTTTAATATTTTTTTTTTATCTGTCTTTGCTCTCAAATTGTTTTTCTTTGCTAGTTTTTTATTATTTCAAGCATTTTCTTATTATTTAAATTTTCTATGCGAAGTTTGTTTCAGTTTCTTGACTTGGCATTATAAGCTGTTATTATTGTTGTTGTAAGCTACAATTTATAAATGTAGTTGACGTAGTCGTTTTCGTCGTTGCCGTTGCCGTTGCCACCGACATAGACATCTACGTTGGAGGTGACGACGACGACGATGACGCCAACAGCGATGGTAACTAACTTTGTTTAATGCAAATACAAATATACATATGTATTTATGGATGTGCGAGAAGAAAAGAGTCAGTCAAATTGTTGGCGTAAAGTGGAGAACTAGTAATTCTCTATTAGTTCTGCTTCGGAAAATATTAGGTGAGTGGGATGGGAAGCGCAGTCGGAAATTTTCTTTTAATTCAACTGAAATGCTTTAATTTATGCTTAAATAATTGAAATTTTGAATGCAACGGCGGTGACAGTGTGGACGTTGACTGAGATCGCTGCAGCGAAATAAATCCATTTCGTTCTTTGAGAAATAATGCAACGAATGGTGCTTATATTTATAAATTTTCTTCTTCTTGCGCTCTTATACATGTTCAATATTTTTATATTTTCTTAAGTTCTTAATATGTATGTTTGTCGCATTGTGCTTCCTTTTATTGAAATTATGTAGTTTGTCCTATTATTCCGTTTATTTCGACTTCACAAGTAATGCTCACATGTTTATATGTACGTATGTGCGTAAATTTATGGTATAAATTTTATTATATTTCATTTAAAAGTTTTGTGAAAATATTAAAGTTTTTTATTTTCTTTTTATGTATTTTTCAGTTGTTGAGAATCACTCGTTAAGTTCGCACGCTCGCTGGATTGATTGCATTCTCGTTGATTTGAGTTTCGTTGACTCAGCGCCAGTCGAGAGATTTGCTATGATTTCGAAAACATAGTCTTCGAATCGCGCATATCGAAACAAAGTTGATATTGGTTGGTGAGGAACATTTTAGGTTTTAATAGAAGAGTTACAAAAGAATGCATACATCATCTACCTATATACATATATGTATATGTGTATGTGTATGTGTATTCGCTGTTTAGTACAATATTGGAAGGCTGACAAATTAGTTGCATATGCAATTATTACAATGCAACCTAGATTGTTTAATTAAGACATTTTTGCTCTCCACTACCCTAGGGACCACCTAAAGAAGGAACGCACTCAACTTTTAAATATATATCCCCCAGTTCACATGAAAGCAAGAAGCCAACCACGCAATAGGCTTTGATCGTCATTCCATATCGCAGATGCATTCATCAAGACCAATATGGACGCCAATAATCCACAATTGTGTCGCATTTGTATTTCGTCGAGTTCCAGCTGTACTCAAATGATATCTATATTCGGAGAAGACTCTTTATGGCGGAAAATTACGACTTTTGCAGATGTCAAGGTATTTATTTCTATTAATTTCAACGAGTTATTCATTTAGATATTACCGCTGAATTATGATTTGTTTTGTACACTGATCGGATGTGGTAGGCATAATAATGACATAATAGTTTGAATATGAATCTTAGTATCTGAATTTTTTGAATTTAACTATTTAACTTAAAACTTATCAGGAAAATTTAAGTTTCGAGCGTAATATGTTACTACTTAAATAAAGTAGAAAAATTTAATTATCTTCATTTCAAAAGGCGAATGCCTGGTTCCTTTTTTTTAGGAGTCTGACTGGTTTTTATCCATTCTATTCGTTCGCAGTAAATTGCGACTACATGAAAATATTCTCATAATACTTTCTGATTATTCCATAAAATAATTATAACTGTTATCATTCGCATTTAAAATAAAATTCAAAAATTAATAATTAAATTTGCTTTATATTATATTCATCAAAAATAATTATTATCATTTGCCTTAACATAAAGAGTTACGTTTGCTTTCTGTTTTTGTGTTGTATAGTTTTGTATACAAAAACAAAAAACTAAAACAAAATCTAAATCTTTACGAGCACCAACCTTTTAATACATTTTGTATAAAATAAAAAAAAACCACTACCTTTATTTTTTCGTTTTTAAAAATATCAAATAGACCAGTGTGAATGAATTATATTTTATTTTCAAAAATAAGAGTTATTCTTGATTTTTATATTTATAAGGCAAAAAATAACAATTATTTGTGCGTTTTAAAATAAAAGGCAGAGTGTATGAGTTATTTCTGGGTGAAAAAATAATAATAATAATTATTTTTAAAAAATATAATATAAAGTATGGTAAATTTAATTATTATTTTTTGAGTTTTAATTTAAAACTCTCATATATAAAAATCAGGCATAATATTAAGAACAAAAGTTGTTATAATGATAACTATATATGTACATGAACATGATTTTAGACAACTCTTTGTTGCTGCTTTTTTGTCAACATTTTTGAAATAACTGTTATTTTCGGTCCCTTCTAATTATCTAATTATTATATTGAATAATACAAAACTTTTTTAATTTATTGTTTAAAAGTTTAGTGCTGATGATATTTTGGCTATAATCTAGTCTTCAGGGTGGCTATGTAAGTTCGGTTATTAAAACAATAAATTAAAAAACAAATAAATGTTTTATATTTTACAAACTATTGAAGTTCAGTGTGGTACATTATGGCGTATTTTGAGATTTGGCGCCCTGGGCTTATAAAGAAACTAAAAATATTTAAAAAAAAGACATATAAAAGAATAAACATAATTTATAAAATATTTACATTTAATGTGATGTAAAACTTTTTTAACTTTAATATAGTTAATCTTTTAACTATGCTTCTGTAATATGTATTTGAAAAAACACATAAGTTTTTAAGAGGAGGTATTGTCATGAAACCCACCACTGCATTTTTTTAAACAACGAATCAAAGTTAGTGTGGTTAGAACCATGTTACACAAATAGTCACATCACAATTGCCAATTTCGTATTTCTACTACTATTTTAATACTTTTTGGTTGTGTCCAAATATGAAAACTTTAATCATACTTACTCCCAGAAGGCACTTATTCTGACATTTGTATCTGAGTAATATTGTTTTGATCACCGTGACAAACCACACATACCCTCGTCACCGTGACCAAATTTAAATCGAAATTTCTTGATTCTCGAGTGGTTCTAAATTTTTTTAAATTTACTTTTTAATTTAATTTATTTTTATTCATAGTAGCTTCATTATTCCAATTAGATAGAAAATTGATTAAGTTATTTTGAACCCCAAATTTCAAAAACTAAAAACACGTTTTTAAAAATATGTGTAATAAAAAAATAATGTTTTATCAAATAATTTTTCTACTGAATTTTATATATAAATAAATATTGTTGTGAATTGTGATTTAATGAAGTTGGTAACAGCTACTATCTTAACTCATTCCTTTGGGTGGTTTAGTAGGGTGTTTCAAAATGGTTTCAGAATGCAGTCATTTAGTTCTTTTATACTCAAATGGAACACAGTGTTTAAGCTTATGCTGAAATATTGTTATCAAGGCGACAATTAACCACAAAGCAAATAGAGTCACAAAGTTCCTTACATTAAAATAAAAGAACAAAAAAAACTATTCTATTAAAATAATCAATTAAGTATTGGTTTGATATATTTATTCTTTATATTATTCACAAAAAATTCTCAACAACAAAAATTCTGTCAGCCCATATCTTTCCCATTGATGCATCACATTAAGCAAAGTAGGTAAAGTGAATGAAAGATAATATTTATTTCATTAGCTAAGAAAGTCGTTTTATTTCCAAATTTCTCGTAATTGTGTACAGAAAGTTGGATATATTACAACCAGCTAGACGGATTGATAAATGCAGGTATCTAGCCAATATTAATGTTGAAAGTGAGTGAATTTTAACTTTAAGATTGGATCTGGATGAGCCTGAATAGAACCACATTTGGTATTCTGACCACATCTGCTATTTTTGTCTTATTGTCCAATGTCCCATTACAATTAATATAATCGTATATATTTCAGACTTACTCCTATGGATCAAGTTACAGACTCCATATTTGGAGTATATAGGCCATGTCGCACTTGAGCTAATTGCCGAAGAAATATTAGCCCTATTTTTGTGATTGTATTTTAGTTTTAGTCTGTGGAGTCTGTTTAGTCTTTAGTCTGGCTGGCAGAAGCAGAAGTCTCGTTATAAGAGACTAAGTTTGCCCCCAAATTCTGGTTTAGACTCTGCGCTTTGATTCCATGTTTAGGAACCCAAACCAGAATTACTTTAAACTGCTTTTAATAAGTTAAAAAATCGTCTTCTCTCCTATACTTTAATTTAGTAATGCTTTGATAGTGAAACTATAAGAGATGCAGACTGTCGAAATAGTTATGTGAATTGTCTGACTGTCAGTGCGAATATAGACTTCCGTTTTCTAGAAGTCATGTTCGCAGCATCAGCACAGACTCTGCCCGAAATATTTAAGTCCCACTCTGCTTGTGGCACAATAGTAAGCGAAGTATATCATTAAGTGCGCTAGTGAAGGTCGATCTCAACGCATGATGAAGTTACTCCCCCGCATACTGATCTTTGCAATGTGGCGAGCCTTTTAATAATGCACTGTTTATTCAACGAGAGCCACTAAAGTAGGCATCCGTATTTTAGAACTGATTGAACGTTGGTGGTTTATAACCAGAGAATTATTTTAAGCTGCAACCCCCAGACCTTATCATATATCCTTTTGCATACATAGAAAGCCACACATGCTCTGTAAAATCTTTTGTCAATATTGGGTAAGTTTTGTTGGAGATAATTTTGATTTTTATAATTTTATAATTGACTCTCTTTTCATCTTATAATATTAATACATACGAAGGTCACTATCTATATACTTGTCGTTGAAAATTGCTGTATTGTTTCGCGAAGTATTCTCCTTTATGATTAATACACTTGCATGCGTTTGAACTATTTGTCAATGCATTTTCCCAAATTTCTTCAGACACCTCTAAAACATGCTTTCTAAATGTAACAAAGACTTCTTCCGCTGACGAAAATCATGAGAGTTGTCAACGCAATTTATTCTTGATGTTCGGGAACAAGAAGAAATCATTGAGTGCCAAATCAGGACTGTACGACGAATGAACCATCAATTCGATTTTTTAAATGTTTAAATAGATGGTTCTTGGCCGAGATGTGCGAGCATTGTCTTGATGGTGAATTAACCGAATGCGCTTAATTGCTTTCCGTATATCACTGAAGACTTCCGGGAAATTAATGGTTGTATACCATTCGGAATTTATCATATTACGTTCCGGTAATAATACTCGTAAAGTTGCCACAGTTTTTTCGAAAAAACAAGCGACCATTTGTTTCAAAGCGGATTTGTTGGATTTTGAAACACCCATACAGTCGGCTGCTGTTAACGTTCCGGCTCATACGCATATATCCATGTTTCGTCACCTATTACAATCTTATATACTAGTACGTCCTTTGAAGCACTACCACTGTACTTGAGCATTTGTGTGCACCATTTGACACGAGCATCTTTTTGATGTTTTGTCAAATAATGGGAGATAAGGAATCCAACGGAAACAAACCTTTCTCACGGCTAAATGATCGTCCATATGTTGTATATGCTGATGGTTCCACCTGAACCTCAATCTTACAGTATGTCACATGACGATCTTGCAATATCAGTTTTTACACAGCATCAATGATTTCCGGCACAACAACTGATTTTGGACGACCTTCACGAATTTCGTCAGAAAGCAAACTGCGACCACGATTAAAATCATAGTACCAGCATTTCACAGTGACACAGAATGGAGTTTCATCGCCAAATATGGACGTAAGTTGATCGATGCATTCTTGTTTTGATAATCCACGTCGAAAGTAGTAATAATTCATCACACGAAAATTTTCTCGCGTTAATTCTTTTTTTTCCCCTACCACTCAATTTACAAATCACTATAAATAACGCAAATAACACTTTTTTGATAAAAAGTCTAAGGTAGGTTATGTTTAATAACGTTAAACTTTCATATGGATGATGACATCTGACAACAATCAGTGTTGCCAAAGCTCAAAATATAAATAATGACCTCCGTATAGTCGTTAGGAGGGTAGCTATCGCCCTATACGACGCCCCCTTGGTCAATCTAATTTTGATTGAGCGGCTGAAAGAAGAGAATACATTGACTTTTAATAAACGATCACTCTCGTATCTATCCATTTTTTAGTGACAATAGACCCAAAAATTTAAATATCAGCAGTTGGAAACTATGTATACCTTATCTGTCTCAATATTATCCATTATTAGTGTATTTATTTATTATTTATTTAATAAATTTAAGAGCAATTTTTTGCAAAATAAGTTATTAAAAACCGATTCGACAAAAATTTTTTTAACCCTACCTATTCAATATTCAATACTGCTCTTGTAGTTATTGTACCTCTTTGAAAAAGTAAAAATACTGGATACA